CAAACAAATGAATCATTCTAATTTATAGCGAAGCCAACAAGCATGAGTTTACTTTTAAAGGAGACTATTCCTGAGATGTCAAAATTATATTCTCGAGATTGTTGTGCCCTTTTTTTCATCAACATGTCAATTCAACTGTTTAATATTTATGCTCTTTACCCCAATACTTTTTTCCCTTTTGTCGTTATTTGTAAAAAAGTTTGCACAAAGTTATGAGTACGAATTCATTGACATTAAGAAATTGAATTCCTTTCAAATTAAGCATATTTTACTCTTCAAAAGCTATTTAAATAATTTTTACTATCATACTCAAATTTTAACACTTCTCAAATAATTTCCATTCACTCTGACGCAGTAAATAATCAAAGCGGTAGAAATAAATCAGTTTCAAAAAGAAACAAAAAGGGTGTTAAGATACTGTGTGATTATTAATTTCAAATTTATTACATTTCGATTTCTTAATTATAGAGACTTTAAAGTCAAAAAGTGCTTGCTAGAAATTTAGTTGAAACTCTTTGCCAATATATGTTCCTTCCTAAGTCTATCATATATATATATATATGGAAAGGCCAAGGGATAAGGCAATGGCTTTCTTTGACATAGCACACATTCCTATTCCTTTTTCTTTCTTTCTGTTTTTGTTTCATTTCTTATTTTTGACAGATTTAAAGAAAAAATGAGCCACAGATAGCATCATTCTTTCCCACTCACCAAACTCTTTCCCCGCCTTTTTCCAATGGACAAATGACGGAAGCCAATTCTAATTTGTTCAACAAAAATACGAAAATTATTTTATTACCTGTCCTTCCTATCATTTCCGTTATTTTCACCAGAACGAAACAGCAAATTGGTGGTGTGTGCATAACGCACAAATATAAACATAACTGTTTAGTTATGGCACATCTCATTTCAATAATATTTTATTTTTTTTAAAAAAAAATTCATTTCTTACAAAGATATTTACTAATTCATTGATGCAAATTTCCCAAAAGTTTCGTTTAAAATTCGAGAATTTCGATTGATATCTGCCCGTAGCTAACTGTTGCGTGTAGCAAAATGGAAAAAAAAATGTCTCAAATAATTTTTCTGGTAGTAATAAATAAGTGATCAAGAAAATGTTGAAGGAAAATGTTGAAAATTCAAAACTGGTTTACTCTTTGATTGCTAACAGTTCTTTTTCTTCACTCCCTTTTTCAGGTTCAAAACAATTCTTACATTTTAAAAAATCTTTGCTTCTATCCAATCTTTTTTAATTATCCATGCAAAATATGCCAAAATTCCTATAACAAAATATAGCGAAAATGTATAGCGATCCAACATATATATGTATATTTTACAACGATATCATTTAATAGGAATAGATTTCAATTGTAAAATTCATTATTTTGAATATTTAAAATGATGACATCACTTTTGAAAATTGATTAGATAAGGAGCATTGGAAGGATTCATTTTCATAGTTCGAATTGATATCAGAATAAGTTGGATTAGTTTTTTTTTAAGAAAATAATTTATGTTCACATCATCCATACAAGGAAAATGATTTCCAAATAAAGAAAAATGATAAATACTTCATTCTCATATCATATCGCAAATAGAATGAATGTCAATCAAACTACTGTTGCACTAATTAATCGAACTCAAATGAATTCAAAATATTTCAATACACATTACCATCATTACAATTGGATGACGTGAAATAGGAAAACAATGTAGAAAAGCGATTAAATTTTTTTTTACGTTGGGACTTGACTCACTTGAGGCCAAATAATTCCAATGAATTAATAACTGCTCAATCCTTTACTGAATAATGATGTCGAAAATTGATGCTGTAAAGTCTATTACTGAAGAAATGGACATAATTTCGTATTGACAACAAAATGAATTTTCGAAAGCCATCAATTACACCTTCTTGAGATAAAGAAATTCATTTTTTTTCACTCATATTGAAATTTTTTTCTTCTCTTCAGTTCCATTTTCACGATTCATTACGATAATTCTTCTCATCGATAGGAAGTTGTCAAGGAAGCTAAAATTTGAGTACGATTCCAATGCCGCCTATTATCTCCTTTTAGTGATTAATTTTGCAATATTCACATCCTACTGATGATAGTTTTTGAAGACGAATATGATATAGATAAGGCAATGAACTATCCACTGAATAATACGTTTCTTACATTCTCGCATCTTTATTTGATTGCGACTAGATGATCAAAATTTTTTAATTGAATAATTAAAAATTTCGATTGTAAAATTGCAATCAGATGATTAAAGTAATTTATCAAATGAAGTAAAATTTTAAATCTGACAAGTGCAAGTACAAAGTGCAAATAAGTTTTAGAAGAAATAAAATGGCATTTTTGGGTCAATTAACAGCTAATGTGCAAGCACAGCTGAATAATGTGAAGCCACAGTTAAATTCCGTATTGCAAACGGCAACACGTGCTCGGGATAATTTAGCACCAATTCTAAATCGTGCTACTGCTCAGCTTGATAATCTCGGCAAAATTCTGCAGGTGATATATAACAGTTCTCTCTACTGCTATAAACCAATCTTGTATCAACCGACTAATGTTTCAAATTTATCATTGGATAAATTTGAAACATTACTATTCATTTTAATTTTTCCTTTATTAGCTGAATTCCTTCGATTATTTTCAAATGAAATCAATGACATGTTTGCAGGTAACCGGAGACCGTAAACAATCACCTATTGATATACTGTCGACAATTACAGCTTTCGACAATACGCTTGAGAATTCGGAAATTAGGTGCCATATATTTTTCAAAAAAAAGAATGGAAATTAAATTTTGAATATAAAAATTTGAAAAATTGCACTAATATGAAAATATTAAATGATGTAAAAGGACGAATTAAGCACAAATAATCTTTCAACAATAGTGCCAATTAGATATTGAACGACAATGCTTCAATGAAACTAAGAAATCTTTTAGCAAACATTCCCTTAATAAATTTTATTTCAGAATAAATTATCCGATGAATGGTGAAACACGATTAAAGAATGCAGGTGACAGCTTACAGTTACAACTTGATCCTTCTAACACAGCTGAATTATCGGCGAGTCATTTGGGTGAGGAACGATATGTTCTGGAGGTTGTATATTTTCACTGGGGCACGGAGCCTATGAATGGAAGTGAACATACCATCGGTGGAGTGGGTTATGCCGGTGAAATACAATTCATTCATCGAAATACAAGATTCCCGAATCTAGAAATGGCATTTAAGGAAGCAAATGGAGTGTTGGGTGTAGCTGTCTTGCTAAATGTTAGCTTATATAATTATATTTTGACAATTGTTTATTTAAAATGAACGAAACTGAGGAATAGTAAGGAAAATTCTGTCCTCAACGTTAACAACATCGTCTGCTTAAAGAATCTTACTTATCTTGTTTGGCCAGCTTTCGCAACATTAGCGCAATCATCTTTCAATGTTCTCAATACGGCTTTGTTATCGAATCATTTGAATCATTAGATGTCTGCTTAATCTCAAAATGTAAATATTTTTAGGAATCACATGACGACAATCCAACATTCTCAACAATAATTGATGGGATAAAGCAAGTGGTTTATAAGGGTAGTGAATGTGCGATTTACGGTGTCAATTTGCCTCATATGCTGCCTTCTTCAGGTTCATCTTTTCAATTTATACTACTCCATTTTAGCTAATCTATCGGATTTCTTATCAAATATTGTACCTATGATAAGGACTGGAATGTAAGGCAAAAATCTTTCATTTCGACAAATTTTCAGCTATTTGAAAAAGATCAAATCTATCTTGTAGAAAAAATGAAGGAGTTCTGGACATACATCGGTTCGGAGACAGTACAACCATACAGAGAAACTGTTCAGTGGATTATTTTCAGGGCTACTGTTTGGATATCTTCCAGTCAGGTATTATTATCCTTGCAATTCCTAACCTTATTTAAAAGAAATGATGTGTTAAATTTCGTATAAATATTGCAGTTGGATAAACTACGCACACTGAAACGTGAAGGTTACGAATGTGAAGTTGAGGAAACGATGTTACCCATTCGTGCAGTACAACCAATTAATGGCCGTATAATCCGTTCATCTTTTCGTTCTTCAGCTTAAGCAGGACGACTCACAGAGACAAAGTAACATCTCTGTAATGATCCAATCTTTAACGTTTTTAGCTAGCAGTAATAACTGAAAAATGTTCGTATCATCCGATCCTCAGCACTCTTGATCTATATAAATTGTGATCCTCTCTTTCCTTGATTTTAAGAAACAATGTTATAATTTCTAATTGAAAGCCGTTAACGAGCTCGTTGAACGATTTCCTCAAAGCATCTGCTTCTAGATTAATGTCATTAGTGAACCTCTAGACAAATTCGAAAGTTTGTTTACTGATAATCTATTTGTTTTAACCGTAATTGAGATGAATCTTGACATACACATGGTTGATGATGATGATGATGATGATCTTGAAGTGTAAATAGTGAGTACATCTTTTAACAAATTTTTTCACTTATGCAATTATAGGACCGAAAATGGGTCTACACTACAAAAGTACATTATAAGCAAAGTGAGATGCTTCCAGAAATCAAAACTTCACTAATTAAGTTCATTATGGACCAAAATAATAATGACTGATGTAAACAAACAGCAGTTGTCATACTAAGAACAGCCCTCCATAATGGATGAGTCTTTGCTAGATGATACATCAGCAACATCTTGCTCATCGCTGGATATTGTTTCTGGTTCGGGTGCTCCATGAACTGACTCAGGACTGGAAACATTGACTGCTTCGACAGCACTAGCTCCAGGCGTCAGCACTCGATCAACTTGGTCGTCAAATTCCATCTCTTCATGTGTTGATTCTCGACTGGATACTGATACAACCTGATAAATAAAACATGAAATTAGATAGTCTTTCGCATAATTATCGGAAACAATTATCTTGTGGAATCTAATACAAATGGAATGCCAACTCTAAATGCACTAATATTGAGAAGGATTAACTCGCTTTATTAATATAAATAACTAAATACCTCTTCGATGTTCTCATTAGTAACAACGCTGACACTGCCATGATAATCATTGCCTGTAATGACTGTTTAAATGAATTTCTACTTTTTCCTTTATTTTCCAATGTTTACTGTGCACATAGAAATAAAATGAGAAAGAACAAAAATTACAAATGTCAAAATAGTTACAAAACGAAGAATGTGCCACCTATAACACCGTACTGTCCGGAAATTTGGTTATCCCCTTGTGTTTGCAGTGTTCGAATGGCACCCACATTTTTCTGCAACCGCGTATTTTCTTCATGTGCACGAGCTAATTCTGCTTGCAAGCGTTTTACTTCTTCATCACGTTCCGCTAGAATGTCTCCATAATCTATGATAATTTAAGTATGAATTAAGTTAAAGAAAAAACAACTGCAGATGATGCAAATGCTAAGCTTTAGTCTAATAAATAATATATCAAAAACTTCACCACAGCAATTTATGCTCAGAAATCATTCCACAAAAATAAAACATTTAAAAAAGAATTTAAAAAAAATGATTTCAACCTACCTCGACAACGCTTTCTTAAACCTTCAACAGTTTTTCGACAATAACTCAACACAGTTTCTAAACGAGTTGTTCTGGTCCCCTCATTTTTAAGTTCGGCATTCTCTTTCTCTAGTCTTCTACATAGTGTTGCCAACGCCTTCGCATCACTGCTAAAAAAACCCAAACTATGAACAATCAACACATTACCTTTAATCAACAAAAACCTTTTGAATGAAATAAAAAAACATCCAACCTTTCTGGTCCATTTTTGAGAGCCCTTAATTCAAGTGTTGCTAATTTAGCATCTTTACGGACCTTGCGAATTTCATCACGCATTGCAGAAAACATCACTCCAATTGCTTGATCAACCAACGTACAATCTGCTTTATTCTCGTCACTCGCATTACGTTTCATCGATTCATTTTCATCCTATGAAATGAATGAAATATGTTAAAATCATGTAGCAGACGTTTGACACTCTACGTAAATTTGAGAAATATCTATTTTGATTAGTGAAAATAAACAATATTTTGACGGACCGGCAAAAAATCAATAACTTTATGGATATTATAATCATTTTAAGCATGTCCAAATCCAAATAAAAAAAACTGATAAAGATTAATAACATACAGCAGTACATCGATTTGGACTTATTTCGATTTATACTATAAAACTAGGAAATTTTAAAATGAGATATAGTTTTAAGTATGACAAATATCCATGACAAGACAGATGTAAGGATGAGATATCCTGAGTTAATAGTGGAGGATCATAGCAATCCTGAACCAGGAGAAATAAATCTTTCAAACTCTGTATCCAAAGTTCTAAGCACAAATCTGCCTTTTACTTGAATTAAAAAGATAAACCATTAAATCGCGTAATTGCTTCTCCTTGACTGCCAATCTTAAATTAGCTAAATTTTCACGTTTTTGAGATAACTGCAACTGCTTTCGCAATTCATCAATATCCATCTGCTTTGATGAGTTTTCCAACGGTCTAAATTTTAAGAAGATCTAATTTCTTGTTCATAAAAAATTTCAAACAAGCAAAAGCATCAATGTTCACCTCTACAAAATTAACAAGAGTTAAACTCAGTTAAACTAACTTACTTAAACATTTTAATCAAAACCAAAGTGGAGAAAGAACTGTAAACAATATCGTTTACTTTTCGTCTTCACCCTGAATTGGTTCAGGTAATGTATTGCTTTGAATATCCATGAAAACCTTTGATAGCACTTCCAATCTTTTCGAGATCTGAATAGAAGCAAATATCTGGTAAATCAAAAATAAATGCATGCACAAATATTTCTTACGCCATCATTTCAGACATTACCCTGTAAAATATCCCAATTGCTTTAAAAAGTTTCAATGAAACAATCGTAAATATAATATAGACTTCATGTGATATCTGAAATTCAATTTCATCTTTAACTAATCCGAGTTTCACTTGTCCATGTTCGTATTCTGAGATTATAGACGTTGTTTATACATCATGACCTTCTTCGGGTTATCTGAACAGAATTTGTTTCTTCCCTCCTCTCTTGGTCGCAGAACTGGCATTCACTATTACAAATTCAATGATCATAGTGAAATGAACTCCCCCCGATAGATTCTAACATTTCTAGCGGTAATGCCATCTTCCACTGTCATCCGTATTCCTCACGACGTTATACTTGAGATTTATCAGAACATCAAATTATTTAAATAACATATTTTATTACGCAAAACGACGAAAAAATTAAAGTTCTGGATACAAATCGTTTACTGTTCGTTAGTATTGTTACAGCAACAATTATCAAAATATAAAAGAAAAAAAGAACAGAAATGCTAACAGTGTCCACAAGAACAAATATAACAAAAATAAAAAAGGAATAAATTATTGGAATAAATTATGTTAACAGTTCACAATAATTAGCAAAATATCCGGATTCTCTAGCATATACACAACATTTTCCCACATTTCTTATATTATTACCTCTTTCATTTTAGAATGAGTCAAAGTTACTAATATGTTAATGCATATTATTTTATCTAAAACCTAACGCAGCCATTGAGATTTTCTCAAAAAATTTCATAATGCTTTAAATATTCCCTTTCCGCATTGCAGAGAAATGTTTTAAAAAATAGTCTTTAAACTTCTAAAAGATTTTAGAAGTTTTCCAAGCGCAAATTTAAATATGTCATAACCGATGCAATTTCTAACAAATACTATGCGTATTGAAAAAAAAATACATTAGGAATGCTTTCGACGAAAATTCATTATTTCAAATGACTCATTAGTCAGAGCACGTAAGCAACTAGCTAACCACTTACAAATATATTACTAATCAACACATCTATTTACAAAAAAAAAATGCCTTACTAGTGGATAATAATATGTAATTCAAATATAATAATTATAAAATATTGCACAAAAAATAAGTTTTTTAAATTTTGAGGAGGCCGGCAAGAACATATGAAAATGAGAAAAACTAAAATCGTTTCATGAAAGTAAATTTAACAAAAATGCAAAAAGTTTTCTTCGAACAACTTGACAACAAACAGCTTTCTGAATACATTGTTTCTCACTGTTAAAAAGAACCGATTTATGCTCTGAAACAAATAAAAAAATAAACAAAAATCTTGCAATAAGTCCAAACTACCTTGCTTGGAATAAATACCGATGCATTAACTCAACTCTATCTAGCAGCGACAGAATAACATTTTTTTTTTCAAAACTCATCAGTCAATTTCACCAAACCAATCTACATTATATTATATCCTATCCCTTATATTTCTTACACCCTGTTTCTATAACATGTCTTCACTGATGCAGTGTTATTTTCTTCATATTACACTATTTCGTATGTAAATCAAATACAATATAGTTCGAAACTAAAAATTTTGAAAGAAAAAAGTAATATGTAGAATTTATTGCTTATATTTGCTAAATGTGTAGAAATAACTTAAAAACTCCTTTATTCGTGTCAAATGGAACGAACACTCACTTCTCCGTACTACCGTCATTAGTTGCATGCAGTTCTTCCCGTTTAATTTCGTCACTTTCAAGAAGCAAATCATTAGGTGCCAGTGGTGGCATACCGTGAAAAATGAAATGCCCTGCAGAAATTTTCATTGAATCTTGGAATTTTAAAGAAAGTTAAAGAAAAAATTTTAACTAAGTAGAATGAAGGCATACTCAATGCACAAATTAAATCTGAAGGTGTAGAAAGCTTCTTTTCTTCCATGAAATTCGAGGAAGCAGCTCCATATGCAATAAGTTTTTCAACAGCCTTCTCCGTCTCAAGAACATATTCACGCAATTCGCCCAGCTAAAAATTACAATTTTATCGATTAGAAGCCTTCATTGATACTAACTAGTACTGATATGCTGCAAAATTATATCTACAAACTGCAATATGTTTCCTAATGATCGCCTAATCGCAAGTTAATCAGCTGGCCAAGCATGAGCTTTTTATGCCAGCCCACAAACTGGAATGTTCAACCCACTATTAATAAAGCAATTAACGATGTTTGGACCGCATGACCAGTTAACTAATCCGAAAAAGTTTTCTGAAGTTTCAAAGGACTTTTGAATATTCTATATATCTAGAGAATAACCCCTGCACCCCTGTACTACCAAGACATTAAAAATCTAGTTTCAAAGTAAGAAGTATTCTATTATGATTGCTGATCTAAAAACTTGAGGATGTTTATTTTTAGCTAAGATCCTTACAAATATGTAAAAAGATAACGGCATATCAAATACAGTTATTGCATTTCCATTATTTCATCGTTTCCGCTTAGTTATCTCACACTGTTAGTTCCATCTACAAATACAATAATGTTATTATTCAAAACACTAACTCACTTTAGCCTCAATAGCCAAATGTGTTTGTAAATCGTAAGATCGGTGCTTCTTTAATTTGCATGATAACATTCTGTTTACCGCTGCTTCCACATCAGAAAATATAGGCCCATAAAAATCTACCAATGAATATTCAACAGAATCTAAAACTTCAATATGTGAAAGGAAAGAAATACATTTGAAATTCAGTAAATAAAAATTCGATATTGCATATCAATGGAATTTTGAAGGCTTCCAGGTGTAAAAAATTCGATTACATAAGTTGCAATATTTACTGAAACACTATCGCCACTGTCTAATAGGACAAGACGGAAATGAAAACAGAAAAGTAGAAAAAGAAACTGCGCACAGAAGTTGTTAACGAAGAGCATTAAAGAAATCAAGAACCATACCAATACGTTCAATAGTTCCTGCAAGGGCATTCATTTCACTTTTTTCGGACCCTTTTTCACTACTATTACTGCCTGAACCTGAAATTCTTGGATTTCGTCTAAAGCGATGAAGAGTATTTAAATGTGGCACAATAACACTATTATATTAAGAATAAAATAAAGATGAAATTAAATGTAAGTTACCTTCTTTTTTTATAGCATTCATTACTAATTTACTAAAATCAACAGCACTACCATCGTTAGACTGTGATTTTGAAGAAGACTTGAATATATTTTCTAAGGACATCCTCTGTAACAAAATCCAATTTGCACAACCTAGTTATATGTATGAAAAGATTTGCAAAGAGATATACAACTGATATTTAACTGTTCAAAGATTCAATCAACAATTTGAACACGAATAACAAAATGAGAATTATTATAAGATGACATATATGAAACCATCTTGACTAACACAAGAGTCATGAGATCACAAAGAACAAGCCATCAGTAACAATCGGATCTAGCAGATCTAAGTATAACGATTGAAGTCAGAGTTGAATGATCAGTGGGGCCTCCTTTCCCTTGTTTGATAAAAAATTAATGCTGATAAATGGATAAATAAAGCACCTGTCTGGGATGGAATTCTGCACGATGTGTTCGAAGAGCTTTCACATGTTTCAAAATTAAGCCACACGAACCGCACATAATACCTTCATTAGTTGCTGTGGAAGAAAGGGACATCTGAAAGAATCAGGAGATCAAGAATATGTCCGACGAATGATTTCAAGAATACGAGTTTCTTTCCTGCATAATACTTTTCTGGAAGTTTTCAAGACTAATTTTCCACATTGCTTTTGGATAACTTCAGCTACCCAATATACTATCATCAAATGTTTGATACAAGGACGTACGTAATAAGCATGTGCTCGAGCACGTTCTGCTTCTCGAAATTTAGGATTTTTCCGTTGACTACGACGTGCTTCGCGATTTCTTGCTCGCTCCAATACTCTATATGCATCATCCTCACGTAAACGACGTTTCCGTTCAGCATCCAACATTCTCCGACGTTGCAGACTAAGTCGCCATTCAATATCTGTGAGTGGTTGCCTTGGCATGGCTGTTTGCTGATTGAATTCCTAAAATGAAAAAATGAAAAAGATAGTGAAAATTTCCGGAGATTCATACTCCATTCATGTCTTCCATTTCTCTGTTAATTAAGAGTATAGATGGGGAAGAAAAGTGGTGACTGACAAACATGTTCGCTTCCATCATAGCTATCGATGGAAGACACACTTCTCACGTTGATATTTATGGGACGTAAAAGATAACACTTCTATACCTCCAATAGGCATAAGCAAACAGAGCTGTTTAGAGTGGAAAGTTGTGGACATAGCTATTCACTGCTTCACTGATAAATCTAATGACAGAATGACATATACCAAGCAGAATTTAGCAGATGAAACGTTCCAATCACCTTTTTGCACTATGTTCCCTTAATGACAGACAGACAGTTGAAGCAAATCCTGTCGAAAACATACATTTGTAACAATGGCGGACGACAAACACTCACAAATTGAGGGAACCATCAACATATACCGCACACGTGCATACACACGCACACACATGCAAGCAGACACTCACATATACATAATTTCATATGGACAGACTGAACACTTTGTATGGACGTTTTGGACTTACATACAGATATATAAGGGCTGATTAGTCGATGTGTCATATGGCACATACACATCGATTACGTCACAACTGACATATAGAAATGCTCATGATGTCGAGAAGTGGAGCTATTGATGGATTTCGGTGCTAAATTAACAAATTAGTTACTAAAGGATTTTACAAAGCTCGGGTTACTCCTCAAATTTCACTTTCATGAGCGTATAATTAGGTGTTTATTCCGCAATGCTA